ATCGACTCGGGAGGCGTGAGGAGAGAGGTTGCCAGTGAAGACTGAGGCAAAAAAGTCCCCCCTTTTCAAAAAAGTTAGTAAATTCTTTTACTACTTTTAATTTTATTATAGTACTTCATTATTCAGCATCTTCTCAAAATACTTATTGGACTCCAGCTTTCGTCGTAATTGGTTTCTTTTCCATTCACTATAAGAATCTCCCGTACTCTTGCAACACCAAAGGCTACCCGAGCTTTAGCTGTCCTGGTTGGGAATGCCTCCGGCCAACCTGAAAAGGTATCGGTTAATACCAGTGGATATCGGTACCCCGCTTTTCTTGGGAGTTCCGTGAAATCAATTTGCCATTGTTGTCCAGGCCCATTACCTTTTCCAGTCTGACCCATTTCTGGTTTAGGGTTATTTTTCAGATTAGTCTGGAGGCAAAGATCGCACTGCTGAGTCACCTGTCTCACCGTGGTGTATACATTTCTGGCCAGAATCTCTCTAATTAAATGCTTGTACAGAGCCTCTGTCCCCCAATGACTTTTCCTATGTTATTCCCTATGTTCTTCCCTTACCAGATGCCATATCAGACAGGAGGGAATGATTAGTTTTCCCTATGGGGTTTGAGCCCACCCCTCCTCATTCTATGACCCTTCTAAATCTGTAATAAGTTTCTGATCTTCCTTAGTATATTCTGGCTTACCTTCTAGGGAGATTCGTCCATCAGGGATTAAAGACCCTTCAGTTTTTACCTCTGTTTTGGCCACCTGTTTTGCCTCTCTGTCCGCCAGATCACTTCTTTTTTCCAATTTTGAGCTCACTTTCTGGTGGACCTCAATAAGCATGATTGCCACATTCTCGGGAAGTTGAACTGCCTGCAGTAGTTTCAAAAATTTCTTCTGTATATTTGATGCTTTTCCCTTGAGAATTAAATAATCCTCTTTTCTTCCAGATCGCTCCATGCGTATGCACAACTCCAAAGGCATACTTCGAGTCTGTGTATATATTCACAGCTTTGCCTTGAGCCAATTCCAAGGCATAAGTTAAAGCAATTATTTCTGCCTTCCGCAAAGGTCCTGACTCTGTGATTTCTTGACTGGTGGTAATAGCGTGCCCCGCGTGTCTCCTGCCACTCAGAACATAGCTGCTTCCATCTGTGAACCAGTTTTCTCCGTTTTCCATAGGGCTGTCTCTCAAATCCGGGCGACTTGCATAGGTTGTTTCAGTGGTCTCCAAGCAGTCATGATGCACTGGTTCTCCTGTGTTTCCACTGAGAAAGGCAGCTGGATTGACATTGTTAGTAACTGTAATCTCCACATCATCCTGCTCTGCCAGTATAGCCTGATATCTCAGGAATCTTTGTGGAGAAAGCCAGTGTCCTCCTTTTGCTTCCAATACTGTGGATACCGTGTGGGACACCAAGACAGTCATTTTCTGGCCCAAGGTAAATTTTCGGGCTTCCTGTATATTTAATATTACAGCTGCAACTGCTCGCAGGCATCCAGGCCAACCCTTTGCAGTTGCATCCAGTTGTTTGGAGAGATAGGCAACTGCTCGTCGATACGGACCCAGATCTTGTGCTGATATCCCCAGAGCAATCCCCTGCTTTTCGTGAGAGAAAAGGAAAAACGGCTTACTCACATCTGGGAGCCCTAGGGCAAGGGCCGACATCAGAGCCTTTTTCAGTAGTTCAAAGACTTGCATGGTCTCTTTGTTCCATTTCAGGTGATTTTGTCCAGTAGCTGTTAGTGCATATAGTGGTTTAACAAGTAGTCCATAAGTATAAATCCACAGCCGGCATTACCCGATCATTCCCAAGAAAGTCCGTAACTCTTTCACTGTCTGAGTTCTGTGAGTTTGGCATATTGCCTCTTTACGGGCCTGTCCCAAAGTTCTTTGTCCAGCACTAATCTCATAGCCCAAGTAAATCACCTCGTGCCGCATTATCTGGGCTTTCTCTTAGATACCTGTTACCCTTGGAGCCCCCAAAAATTTAGTAGACTCACAGTTCAGGTCCTACAACCGTCTTCTGTTTTGGTGGCAATTAGGATGTCATCCACATACTGTAATAATTTCCCCTTCAGACGGGATTTCCCAGGACTCCAAGTCTTTTGCAAGTTGATTACCGAAGATGGTAGGACTGTTCTTAAATCCTTGTGGCAGCACCGTCCAAGTGAGCTGAGTCTTTCGACCACTTTTGGGGTTCTCCCATTCAAATGCAAATAATTTCTGACCGGCTTCATGGAGAGGGAGGCAAAAGAAGGCATCTTTCAAATCTAAAACAGTAAACCAGGTTAATTTGGGAGCCAATACGGTCAACAAAGTATATGGGTTTGCTACTACTTGGTAGAGGTCCTCTGTTATTTTGTTTACGGCTTGCAAATTCTGGATGACCCGGTACGACATATCCGGTTTATGGACAGGTAGTATAGGGGTGTTAAAATCCAACTCGCACTCTTTCAATTATCCTAATCGTAAAAATCTTTCAGTCACTGGCTGGATTCCTTCCTTGTCTTCCTGGGCCTTCTTTGAGTCTGACTTCAACGGGTGGAGCATTCTTTGCTCTTCCAGGGACATCAGTGGCCCATACCCCAGGGTACACCTGGTTTAGGATCTCCTCGGGAATTTTTCCTTCTGTGGGAGGACTGGTTAGAAATAGATTCAGTACCTGGATATATTGTTGATCCTTTAGCTCCAGAGTAATTTCTCTTTTTTTTTTCAAATGTAATTTTTGCACCCTATTGTTCCAACAAATCCCTTCTCAGAAGTGCCTCTGGGGAGTTGGGCATATACAAGAATTTGTGGATGCCCCATTATTTTCTGAATTTATACTTCGAAGGCTCCTTTTTCAAATGTAATTTTTGCACCCAGTTGTTCCAACAAATCCCTTCCCAGAAGTGCCTTTGGGGAGTTGGGCATATACAAGAATTTGTGGATGCCCCATTGTTTTCCTAATTTATACTTCAAAGGTTTACAAAAGTATGCCTTTTCACTGTGGCCAGTTGCCCCTTTTACCACGATATAGTCACTCCCCAGGGGCATCAAGGCTTGATTCAAAAGTGAGTATGTTGCCCCCATGTCAACCAAAAATTCTACCTCTCGTTCCTTCCCTAGCTTCATTATAACCAGTGGATCCGCTAGGGTGGATTCCACAGGTCCCCGTCAATCTTCCTTTACATGGGCTATTTTTTCTATCTGGCGGCCTCGTCCCTTTTCCTTATTTTTTGGACATTCCCTTTTCCAATGACCAAATCTTTTACACAGCGCACGTTGGTCTTTACCCAACCGGGACAATTCCTGTCTAGGCCTTTTCTCTTCCTCTTCCCTGACAGCTGTCACCATTGTCCTCTGCCCTTGCCTGTATCCCTCTTCTCTATTGCTAGACACTCTCCATGCTTCATCCAGCAGGACTTCCAAGTTCCTACCTTCTATAGGACGCAACTTCAGGAGTTTGTGTCTAATGTCTCCCGTAGATTGACCCAAAAATAGGGAGACTAGTTGTTGTATCCCTGCCTCTGACCCAGGGTCCAGCGGTGTGTTACGGCGCATTACATCCCTCAGTCGATCCAGGAATTCGGATGGGGACTCAGAAGGACCCTGTTTAACTGTATATAAAGCTGACCAATTTATGGTTCGGGGAATGGCCCCCTGTTTAACTGCATATAAAGCTGACCGCTTTATAGTTCTGGGAATGGCCCTTTCCATTCCTTTAAAAATCCACTCTTGGTATGCCTGCAGTCTCTCCGTATGAGCAGACCTGTTAGCATCCCACTTTGGGTCTTGGAGGGGGAAATAATCCTTAACATCACCTTCCGCAGTCTTATAGTGATCTTCAGCCAGATCACCTGCAGTTTTTAGAATTAACTGTTTCTCTGTATCGGTTACATATTCTAATGGTAATTGTATATCATTCCAATCTGGATTATGTTGTTTCATTATGAATTGAAAGTGTTTAGCGACACCCACTGGGTCGACCCGATGTTCCCGGGCTACCTTTTTCCAGGCGTCTAAATCGGTGGTGGAAAAAGGTATTTTGATTAGCATAGTTCCACCATCAAGTCCTACTGCCTCTTGGAGAGGTGCTTGTAAGACCATTGTAGCGAATTTCTTCCTAGTCTGGGAAGATACAGGGCTGTCTTGGCCCCATCTTCCAATTTATGTAGAGGCCACTATTAATTGCAATATTTGATAAGGGTCCTTTTACTTTCTGTGCCTCCGGTCCCAGCAATGTCTTTCCAGTGAGTGAGCACACAGCCTAAAGGACTCTTTTTCAAAATTCCTCCCTGATTGTTACCCATTTCGTGACTTATTGCCCCTTTAACTTGCCTTTTGCTATTCTTTTAATAAGTTTCCACGCAAATAATTTCTTACAATTCATTATAGTTTCCCCCCAATCTTTCTCCCACAAATCCCAAATTTCGGGAATCAAATTTTCTTTTCTGCACACCAGCTTCACTACCTCAATTTCTTGGTGAGTTCTTTCCCAACTAGAAAACGTGGGGTCTGTGGAAGGCACCTAGGACACTGCGCTCCTCACCTACTAGATACACAGTTCTACTTTTTATCACAAGATTTACACTTCAACAGGACCCAAGCTTGGTGCTAATTCTTATGTAATCTAGGAGCTAGTCCACATGCGAAGCAGGGAATTATTCTTACTTGCCACCAACCCTAGAACTTATAAGGATTTCTGGAGGTTGTTCCCAATCTAAGGCCACCTTCCACCCTGTGGGAGTCAGGTATGCCCCTTTCAAATAAAATTTTTCTTCTCCCCTTTATATCCAATCCACCCCCTCATTTAAAAACTCCCAAGGTTCGAGCCCAAACCACCTAAGGAGTGATTTCCTTTGCTCTGCCACTTTAATAATTAACCAGTTCCCATTCCCCATCACTTAGGACAGTGGTTAGGCACTACCGCAGCCCAATTTGTACATTAAAAGATTTACAAGCTTTATAATCATTCCAAGCACTTTGTCCGTCTCTGGCCATGCTCCTCTCAGAGTTACAGAACCGCAGATCGGGACTCCCACTCACTTCACAGCAATGCTGTGTCTCAACCACATATACACATGTAGACAGACAAAACTTTTAACATAAAATCCCTGGGCATTCAAATTATACCATTATCACTTCAGTTAGCATTCATACAAAAACCATCCGAACACAGTTACTGTTAACATTCATACAAAAACCACCCAAATGCAATTGTGCAGAGGTCCGCTTACCCTTCTCCAGCTTCTTATATACCAATCATTAGCAGGTCTGTTCTGGCTCCCGACACTGCGATGCAGCGGTAATCTTGGGTTTGCTCGGTCTACTCTCAAGATCGCTAGCGGCCGCTCTATCGGTCAGTAAACCCTCTCCTTACCAGGGCACCCTTTCCCCACGGGGACTATGCTGCACGCCAGACACCTCTCCTATAAGGACAGGCTGAGAAAGGTGGGGCTGTTCAGCCTGCAGAAGAACAGGCTCTGGGGACGCCCTAGTGTGGCCTTTCAATACTTAAAGGGGGCTTCCAAGAAAGATGGGAGCAGACTTTTTAACAGGGTCTGCAGCAACAGCACAAGGGGCCATGGTTTTAAACTAAGGGGGGGGTAGATTTAGACTAGAAGAAAAGAAGAAATTGCGGTGCTCGTGTTGTGCGGAAAGCAGACTCCACAATCTGTAAGACTGTAAAGCAGGTATGTTTATTCAGTGCCGGGCAGCACGGGGGGTAGTCCCACCAAAGTCGTGCGTGCCGAGCAGCAACTTGACTTCTCAACTTATACAATCAAGTATTACATATGCATTAGATTTATTAATATGCCTATACCTACGCATAACCTAACCCCGCTTCATATTAAAATCAGTTCCAAGAAGTACTTTTCTACCATAGAATCTTCCCAGCTGCCCTTGCGCAGTGCCTTCTGGTGGTGGTCATTGGGGGTCCCAAGATGAAGGCTCATCCTCTTCATCATGGTGTTTGACGATTGACCTTTGTTTCTGTGCAAACTCAGTTCTCTTCTGGCTCCCATCCATACAGCAGAGTCGGTCTTAGCTGGTTCTAGGTGACTGCCAGCCCCTATCAGGAACTAACCGCTTTGTATGGAGATGCAAGACTCTCTGCTTCAGTTAATTTA